GAGTGCTCCTGTCCCAGCCATGGGCTGCAGCTTCTCCAGGAGTGTGCTGTGGGAGACAGTGACAAAGGCTTTGCTGAAGTCTAAATAGACAACATCCACAGCCTTTCCCACATCCACCAGGCGAGTCACCTAGCAAAGCATTCAAGAGCGTGCTTAAGCTTTGTTGAATCCAGACTATCACATACACTATGGATATAATTTTCTTTCCAGGCATTAATGTTCTGGAAGTGCTACCAACTTCATTTTGCGATAATGGAAATAAATGGGCCTCATCCAGTTCATTGCAATCATTATGAAAATGCCATTTCATTTTCAGGGGACCAGTGGTGTGGATTAGACTTTTCTATAACATATATGCTTATATTACATCTACAATTTATGATGGACAGTTTTGATGCCATTGCTTTCTGCCTGTGATGAAAAGCCTCAGACCAAAGAGATGGAACCTAATGCAGTTGCATTTCATCCAGGCTTTTCTTTCTTTTTTTCTTGCACAAAATTTTAATCAGGTATTTCCCAACAAGCTATCAGATTTCTGACAAAGATACAAAGAACAGTAACCTGCTTTCTTTTTCTTCACAAAAATCCATCAGGAAAACTGTTACCCTCCTCAATAGATGATCATATATAGAGGAGTGAGTATATGTGTGGCATGATTTCATGATGTAAGAGGTTTCCTTGGTGTGTTCTTATTCCAGAAAGAAATGTATTTGTATAATTCATTATCTTTATAAATCAAAGCATAAAATAGTGGTGAGGTTTTCTACAATGAGCAAGAAAATAAGAATAGCAGTGAAATATAGAAAAACATATACTCCTTGGGATCAGGAGAACAGGAAAAAATCTAGTTGATGCAAGACTTTCTCATGTAGATTATCTCAGGTCAACTATGTGATTGAACATATATTGCAACATTTCCCTTCAGCAGAAGGGACTAAAGGGATCTCGTCTTAATCTAAATGCTTATGTTTGCAATATTCTGAATGACAGGATAACTTGGAAAGCTTTACCACTCTGTCTCATTTGGTTTTATTTAACCAACATGATATGAAGTTCCAAGAAGGTTTATGTATAGACTATAAAACCAAGATTACAAAACTATAAGACCAAGCTAACTTTCTGCTAAGGATGTAAGTATCTAAGACACTGCATAGAATATGACAACAGTAGGCTTCACTGAAATATTTGTGGTGAAAGATAAACAACACTACAGAAAGCACCATTTTTATTCAGCTACTGAGTGTAAACAAAATGGTGTTGGTTAATTAACATGTGGTGCATCCCACGCAACAACATATCCACTTGAAATGCCATTTATTTAAACTTTTCCAATCTGTGTCATTCCCAGTAGAATTTTTCTTTTCCTGAACCATTTTTGGACATGAATGATTTATCTGAATTAGGCAATAACAGGTGCACACAAACACTCATACATGTGTGCACATACCTATATAAATTATGACAAGAAATCAACTATTCCTTCCTGTCAGGTAGCAGAGAGTCACACTTTGTGACTGTCTATTCTGGTACTAAAGATTAAAATACACCTCAGCAAATTTGCTAGCCTAGATGATTTTCAGCGCTGTTTTTGCTTTAGGGAACAATGTGGCTTAGGGAAGAGCTACAGAGTAAGGTTCAGGTTTTCTTCTCTCTGCCACCTATTCTGAATTGCCTAGGAATATGTCACTTGTAATGAAGCAAAAAACACATTTGTATGGTTTTATGAGCAACTTATACATAACTTTGCCAGTTTTCATTAAAAAAAAAAAAAAATAAAAGCCATTTGTTTAAAGCATCAGAGCAAATAAAGATGGTAAAATTTCAAACTAAATCAAATCTCAATTCCATGCATGGTAGAAAAGTACTATATTACCAGCAAAACTTCCCTGAATAAAAATATGCTGTACAGTCTCATATACATGCAAAATTGGTTAAACATAAAAATAATGACAAATGACATGGCAAATGTCTGATCAGTTTACAGCTGTCTATATCCTTCCATGTGTCATACTAGCCACTTGAAAGTAAAAAAAAAAGTAAAGAATAAGACATGGAGATCAAGAAATTGTAACTTTTAGGAAACAAGAAAGACCTAGATCTGAAATTTCCTGCAGTTTATGGCTTGTGCAATAAAAGTTTTCAGTTCATTCCATTCAAATATCAGGACATGAATCACCTGGAATCTCATATCATGTCAGACTTCCCAGAAATGCTTGATGTCAAATGCTATGTTATTAATTTTAATAAATTTTCTCATGGAAAAGGATTTTATTTCATATGCTTCTGGAAGGATATGAAGAAGCTCTACAGGCCTTCCCTAATGTTTGCAGTTTAGGGGGAAAAAAGTGAAATAACGCTAAATAAATGGATTATTTTAGACTTTGCCAAAACGATTGCTTGAGTGTTGCTAGGATCATTCTGTTCCCTGATCTTCTGAGAGCTGAGAGATCTTAGAATGAGAGAGAAAAATAATTGCCTCAGAACCACTAAAGACTGAATTACATTTCCTTTAGTTTCCATGAAGCTGTCCTGAGCAACAGTCAAATAGAAACCCCCACAACACCAGTGAATATTATGATGTCCAGAACGAGTCCTAAAATAGCTACAACTGGAGAGTCTGAAGAGCACTCAGGCTACACAAAATCAAAGCTGCAGATGTTGCCATGATTAAGAGCATTGAGGAGGCCAGTTTTAACTTAATTTTTCCTCCTTGACCTGTATTAGAATTGCAACCCAGGGTAGGATGCCATCTAGAAAGTACATTTATCCAGGCAATAAATACTACCTTGCTCTCTATTTCCATCCCTTTTTCATATTGTGGGGAAAATCATAACCATGACCCTTTTCTTCTGATGACACAAACCTGCTCCATCCTCATTTCCACTAAAACTTCATTTCTCATATAAAATCTCTTTAAATAATCTACAATATTTTTAACATTTTTTATGCAATCAATACATTGAAATGTTCCTTATATAACTATATTAAGACTATATTGAGCCCATATTAAAGTTCATTATTTCAATCAATTAATCTCAATTCTTTGAAATGTACATTTTGGCTCAAAGATATTGTTTTTGAAGTTGTAATGTAATTCCATAAATGGCTTGTGAAAAAAAAAAAAAACCAAAAAAAAAAAACCAAAAAACTTTTTGCTTTTAGAACTTGTCTCAAAGCTTTATTTTGGAAACTACGTTTTTCTTTGAAATATATAAAAGATGACTCTTCAGAGAAATTTAAAAACTCAGACAAAAAGGAGTATTTTATTTCAGATAGAATGAAATGTATTGTTCAATATAAGCTTTTTTGGGGTGGGAATATGAAGTAATGACATATTTTATTTAAAACTTAACTGGTGTGGGGTTTTTAATATTTAAGATCAGTCTGTCCTTTCAAATATTAATTATTTTCATAGCTCTGCTTGAACTATATATCTTTTATTTGCCCACAGCACAGTCAATATTAGCATTGATTACAAAATAATATTTAATGGAAATATTATTCATATTAATGTTGTTTATAAGTATATTTAATTTTATGTTGGGCAGTTCTTGTTTCCTTTTTCTTGTTCAATTGAGCGATAGGTCACATCTGTGAATAAAGTTGCTTTTAGGATACAACATTCAGAACCACTTTGAGCACGGAACTTTAGATCTTGATTCTAGAGTGGAAACTTTTTAAACATTAATGTTGCTCAACTCTATACCACAGCTTTAATATAAATATAACCTGTAACAAGCCTGGAGAAAATACAGTCATTGGATAGTGATAAACAATGAGCTTGTATTTAACAGTATTCACCTTGAGTCCTGTGTGCAGTTTTGAGCACCACAATATAAAGATATAAAGTTACTAGGGAGCATCCAGAGGAGGACTGTGAATATACTTAAGTGTCTAGTGAAGAAGTCATATGAGGAGTGGATGAAATTACTTGGTTTGTTCAGCCTTGAGAAGAGGAGTCTGGAGGTAGACCTCATTGCTCTCTGCAACTTCCTCTTGAGGGGAAACACTAGCACTGATCTCTTGTTTGTGCTGACCAGTGGCAGGATCTGAGGGAATGGCCTGAAGCTGAGTCAGGAGAGGGTTAGGCTGGATGTCAGAAAGTTTCTTCACCCAGAGGGTGGTTGGGCACTGGAACAGGCTCCCCAGGGAAATGGTCACAGCACCAAGCCTGACAGAGTTCAAGAAGCATGTGAATGATCCTCTCAAGCACATGGTGTGACTTGGCATTATGCTGTGGAGAGCCAGGAGCAGGACCCAATGATCCTTGTGAAACATAGAATCATAGAATATCCTGAGTTAGAACTCAATAATATCCCTTCTAGCTCAGAATATTCTATGGTTTTATGATTCTTTGATCTATCTTGTGATCAGTCAGCCCAGATACTCTTGAATTTAGTAAATGTTCCTGTGTGGATACAAACTTGCACAGCACAGCCTTTCCATATGCTGTTTAAAAGCATCTGCAGACAGAAAAAGCTTAACTATTTTTTTTGCTACTGTGAATGTTAGCACTGGCTGGTAGATGTTGTTCAGTCTCTATCTGTGACAGGCTGCCCTGCTCCTTCTGTGAGGGGGCGTTAAAGCACATTCTTGCAGCGTGGAAAGAGGTATTACAGAAACTACCATAAAAAAGTAGCTGTCCTCAAGCATGTATAGTTGGGTAGCAGACCTCCACTTAAACCACCATGAAGCAAAACTGCAGATGTTTTTATGGTTTACTTCTAGCACCTTATTATAAAAGATGTATCCTTTGCTCTCCCTTATTAACAGCTAATCTGACCCTGTGTATCCAGTGTGAAAACTACTGAAGAGATTAAAAACATAAAGGCTTTATTTTGACATACTGGAAAGCAGGGAAGGACTCACTGAACTGAGAGTCCATAGGAAGGTGTCACATCCAATGGCCAATAGTACCATGAAAAATTACTGTCCAAGGCAATCAAACAAAGCATTACAAGAAGACAAATGTACACTTTACTTCTTTTTTTCTCTTCCAGAACCACATAAAAAAGAAAAAATAATGGAATCTGGTGAATATTCTCTCATTTTTATCTTACTCTTAAAAAAATCTAATATTTTAAATTAATTATTGTCAAAAGTTAATATTTGATATTTTTTTAAATTTGCTTTTACAGGCAAAACAACAAAGAAAGAAACAAAAGTACATGGTAAGTCCTGTAAAAGACTGTAAGTTTCAGAGTCTCATTTATCTGGTTTGATTTTCAGTTAAGATAGGATTATGTAGAGGGATAAAAAAATAAATCCATGAATATAATTTTGCTGGTTTAATTAAAGTTACTTAAGCAATTGAATGGAATGGATGTGGAGCAGCAACCATTCGGTCTTCTGGAATTGAGATCTAATTAAATGCTGAGAAGAACAGGAAGGAAATAAATCTTTATTTTAACTTTTAAAAGGTTTCTCTTTTCAAAGAAAGTTACAGTACATGGATGGAGAAACAAACACAAAATACAAGATTCAGAATGTGGAGGGTAGGAAAAAAAGTAGGCTGTTTAATTATTTTTATGCCAAGGATTCATGCATTTTATTGTTGCAGCAAGCTGCTCTTGCTCTCAAGTGGAACACACTTCTCCAGTTTATACAAATTTGGGGGAGCATAAGGATTTTCTCCTTTTACAGCCAAGCCTGATGACTCATTCATCAGATGACTTTATTTTCTCAGATACAAATTTGGAGCAAGAAATACCTACAGTAGAAAGTCAATTTGTAGAAAAATGAATCTGTCCTTTTCTATAACATAAAAACCTGTCAAGAATGAAGGTGTGAATAATGAACAAAAAGAGAAATGTGGTAGTTCCATTAATTTGCATTTAGTTAATGCATTCATGAAGAATAGTCAAGAAATAAAACTGAGAAAACTTATATAAAGGAAGAATTTTGATACTGGATCCTCTGTATCAATTCTAGAAGTTTCAATGAACTCAGAACAAAAAAAAAAAAAAAAAGTGAAAAAATTCCTAGCTTCTGCAAATCACTGAAATTGTTAAAAAAACTTTTCTATTGTATACTTTCCACGTATGTTTAATATAAGCACAATCTAGAGCCTATTTTACTTCTTGCCTCATCCTTTCACTTGAAAATAGCAGAGCTATTGAAGTTCCATATCTTACTCATCTATTGGCCTTGTTTTCTATTGCTTTTAATCTGCAGGTTAATTAATCATCTACTATGAGACTAAACAAGCAATACATGTGTGTGTCAGTTTTTGTCTACATAAAAAATGAAATCCCACTCTGCATAGATAAGTAGCATATTGACAAAGGGAAGAGATGTTAGGATAAATTTTAATTCCTTTATTCATTTATTCAATTTGTTTCTGTGAATGTTTTATTTTACAGCAGCTGTGGAAACTCCAAAGTCAAAAGGTGAGTAATTTGATTGGTTTTGAAAATTGAAATGGAATAATGCTGCTGTTAACTTTACTGTAATGAAAAAAAAACTGCTTGTGAAAAAGACTTTTAACAATATGACTTATTTGAAACAAACAGCCTTTTAAATTCTAATGGTGTTTTCCTTGCCGCATCTCAAAGCAGGCATCTTTTCCTCAGATTTTTCATGGATTAACTGTAATTCTCCTACAATCTGAAATTCACTTTCTAACCCTAACTCAAGCCATAAGGCTTTTGTGACAGGCAGAAAGGAGAAGTAACCAATCTTCTACAGAGGCATCCCACAAAGCAATATTTCTCTTTTTGTCATTCTAACTGCAGGACAAAACCAGTGACTGAACAGTTGTTTTCTTTAAGGAGTCTAGGGAGTTTTGCAGGGAGATTTGGTGTAACAGGCTTTGAGTACCTTTCATACACAAACTGTGGATGGCAGAAGGTAGGAGGTGTGAGAGCATCAATGCTTGCCTCAAAGGTTCCTCCTTTCCACAAGGCACAGGGAACTGGGGCTGGTAAGAACCATCACGGATGTAAATTCAAACTGAGCAAATGTAGCAAATATTTAATTGTTTCACATCAGTGTCTGGTTTTTACAGACATACAGTGTAAGTTACTAGCTCCAAATTTCCCTTAAGAACATTACAGATTTCAGCTGTAACTTAAAAAAAAATGGGAAACAGAATGCCAGGTTACAAACTGCCCATCACTTGCAGTCCATATTTATTCATATCAATGGCCACCATACTTTTATAAGCATTCCCTTTCAGACAAATGGGAAGAAAAAAAATGTTTTAGGAAGTTCAGTCAATTAAGGATAAGTAGAAACAATGGGTTTCCATTATATAATATAGGAATAATTCTGGTATTTCTGTTGTCAAAAGAGCAGTCTCACAACTGAAGGTGTTGGCCTCTGCCATCTTAGTTTTACTGTAGGATCAATGTAACATTGAACCTGAAATTGATCCCCAGTGTATAAGTAATGACAACTTTGTTTTATTCCTCATTAAATAAAAATGAACTGATTTTAACTCTGGGGAAATTGTTGATTTCTTAAAAATGTCTTGTTAGCAAGTCATCTAAATTTAACTTTATGTTGCTAATTTCGAAACTCAAACATAGCCTGCACTCCAGAGGGAAAATCATATTTATATGAAAATGTTACAGCTGTTCCTCTTGCCACTTAGCAAGAATCACAAAGGAATGTTGTTATTTTCTTCTATATTCTTTTATGATGCACACAAATTCTTGTCTTCAGTAGTGTTTAATAGTAGTCATTAAGTAGGGTTTAACCTCTTTTTAAGTCTGAAGAAAATAATATTTTTTCAATACATATTTCTTTGTTCTACGTTGTTGTTATTTTTTTTTTGTTGTTGTTGTTTCTCATTTTTCTCCTGTTAGTCCTTAGAGACTTAGCAGCTCTCTGGACACAATGTGATTTTCAGTATTCAGTAGGTGTTGGCAAATGTAAAATTGTTTTTAGCATATTCAGGGAAGGCAAACGATTCTGTTCTGAAAAAAGCAAGGCTTTTGATGAAATTATCTTCTTTAGTAATTAAACAAAATTAATCTGCTGGCATAGAAGGAGGTGTGGACATTCCCACTACCCTGTATTCTTATGAGATATCAAATACACATGGAGCTTTCTTGCATTTTCTCACAAGCCACTACAACATGAGGTTTTTTTTTAATTTCTCCATATAACTGAACAGTTCCTAAACCATAACATACACTTCTTAGGTTAATGATTTCTTGATTTTTTTGATGCCACAATGAGGAGCTTCTGACCTCAGGGTTCAGTAGGTGAAATGTTTTTTGTTTCCAGTGGGAATTATTTCTTTCAGTCTTCCATCACACTGAGCAAATATCTCAAAATAGCTTTAAAATCAGTGACATTTTAGAATGCATATTTTTTATGTGGATGCTAGTTATGCAACCTGTCTCTTTTGGGATAAAAATATTCTGACAAATTTGATCGTAGCCTACAACTATTGAGACTGCACAAATATTTGACTGATGAATTGCTCTCCTGGCCACTTTCAGCATAAAACAATATCTGCTGAATTATCTCTCATTTGTTTCTTAAGAGCTTATGATGGAATCAGAGAAACAATGATAAAGTAAATTGCCCATATGATTTACATTATGCCAAGTTGTCAATAATTTTGCTGAGAAATTACAAAATAGATGTGGGAGTATTTCTCAATTTGTTTAATATATTTTTGAAACTATATTTTACTGAAAATATAGATCCCTGATGAATTCTTGATTTTACCTGAGGAGAAAATTATAATACATTACAACATTCATATTACCTAAATTATACGGCTAAAAGATCAGCTTTTCAAATAGGGAATACCTGGAACAGGATCATTTTTCACAGAGCTCATCTTTCAGAAGTGCCATTCAGAAGTGGCTGCCATTCAGAAGTGGCAAGAACATCGAAAATGCCCAGTGGAAGAGATAACATCTTGACCTACTCAGAAACCTTATCTCTGTTCTGATAGAAATAGAGACAACCAGACCTTCTGAATCTTATTCCAAACACTGACTCTACATGGATCGGCTTCCTGTTTATGGAGACTTTCAAAGTGACAACTGTTACCTTGATAATAAAAGACCTCTCAGCATCACCAAAGTAGCTCATGCCTCTCTTCTGGAAAAGCAAAGGGAATAACAGAACATCCTGTTTGTCCTCCCAGATACTGCTCTGCCATGTCTAGATGATGTTACTTGGCAGTTCCCAAAAGTTCCTGGAGCTCTGTTCTGTCTCAGCAAGTTCTTTACAAGCACTCACTCACTCATGGAAGTGGTGGTGTATTGCTGAATGCACTGAAAGCCAGAATGCTGTTACTATATCTATAGCTGGTTGTTATAGCAGCCTCGATGTCTCTCAAGGAATGGATGTTCCTTCATGATAACCATACTTGTGGTCTACCACCACTACATACTTTTGATGACTAAACACCTAATTTTCTCAGAAAGCTGCATTGCTCTTCTAGCCTGCAGTTCAGTATCCAGAAAAAAATACTTTTATTCCATTAGTATTCTGGCTTTCAGAGATTTACAAACCAAAATTCCTTTCATTTCAGCTAAAAAGGATAAAAATGTTTTGAAGAAAACAATTGTTCTCAATAACTCATTTAACCCTTGTCATAGCTGCTTTTGCAGTTTTAATGTGAAAAATATATTTTGAAATGAGCATGGGACAGGTTTCTGGTGTCCCTTTTAATATATTTCTTTCCATATTCAAATAGGCTTATTCTTCAAGATACTGACCACTTCAGGAAGCATTTTAGAAGCACTGTGGTATTGATTTGCTCAGTGCTCAGGTTAATCTTGGCTTATCCTCTGATAAGCCTAGTTCATGGTTAGTATAAGTAATACTGATAATCTGGGCCCAGGTAATATGGATAACAATAGCAGAGGTCTACAATGAGTATTAAGGGCCTTTGGTTCTTTTAGGCTTTCTCTAGTACCACGAAGAAATTAGGCACTTAGAAAAAAAGGGAGTATTCCATTTCTATCCTTGAGGATTGAGTCAGACATATTTTCAACCTAGATTTTATTTTCAGGAAAATTGAAGATTATCTTCAATAAAATAAGTTCCCTGAAATAACTGAGATGCAGAAGTGCAATATTTCACTATTTACATGGAGCTTGCTCACAAACACATACTCATATCACAAGGGAGTAATTGATGCCTGTGAGTGGGTTTACCCCACTCAACATGAAGCAGTTCATCTATTGATACCTGACTTTTCACTGAATATCAGATTCAGGGAATCTGGAAGCAGAAGATCATTCCTTTGGCCCCCAACCCACCAGCAGACATTGCAGACAGGCCACAGCTTATTAACTGAGCTGATCTGCTTGAGCCATTATACCCAGCAGCTCCAGAATGTTCTTGAAGGGATGTCCTGGTGGCACCCCTGGGGCCAGATTTGCAGTCCAGGCAGAAGGGAAGCAGTGAGACTCCATGGAGACACTTCATAGGTCCTTTGAATTTCCTGACTTTCTCAGGATAAATAATGATAACAGAACATGACCCTCAGAATTTATTTTGTCTCTAAAAGCCAGACTCATAATTTTCAACTGTGATTTGTTCTAATAAAATGATAGGATGAAATAACAAGCTGAGATTTTGTTATCGTGCTAATGACCCCGGAACTGCAGATATTTTCTATACCCATCAGATGTAAATTAATTTTCATTGTCCACTTTACATCCTGACACTTATGCTGATTGTTCTTCACATACTTTGAAACAATGAGAGTGAAGATTATTTTCTTAATGCCACATATTTTGTCTCAAACACTGTAAGACGGTAGCCTTTTAAATTAAAGCAAGGATTTTATTTATCGTAATAATTACAAGTTATGGCTACAAAAGCTTGGTTTCACAGGAGTGAAGGGTTGAAAGTGCCACTTACAGCTAAACATGCATATTTATCAATTTACAATATTTAACCCCAAATAATTCAATTAAATAAGAAATATATATATTGTTCTAAACATATAATCTTGTATATCACCAAACCTGCAGTGTAAATTGTCAGAAATTATAAAAGATACCCATATTTATGTGAGCAAAGTCTAATGGCACCCCTTCTTGCACCACCTCTTCTTAGGTAGTTTCATCCTTAATATCCATTGTCTCCCAAGATGTGTAAATGAATTTACAAACTGTGCTTACCAAGCTTGTGAATAAGCAATTGGATATGTCCATGCATCCTGACTTGGGATGCTCAGCTGCTTCCCCTGGTGTCGGTAAAGATTAAGTAGCCCTGCTCCACAACTGGTCTGGTCCACACTTCTTGCTTACCCACAGAAATCTCAGTATTCAGTAGGACCAAGTTAGATGTCATAACATACAGTCCCTCTGTGGCCTTCTACCTTCACTGAGACCAACCATGTGCTTAAAGCTGAGAATATGGGGCAATGTTTTGCTGTGTCAGGGGTGCGGAGTGAAAGTTTCTGCTGGTGCAAACAGAAAACCATGCTTGTTTGGGGAACTCTCAAATGGCTGGGCAAGGTAAAGATCTGCTGGCTTTGCTCTCTTCTCCATTACAAGAGATGTGCTGTGTAGTTTATCCCCTGTTTCATTTCACATCACAGAATAATGTAATGGTTTGTGTTGAAAGGGACTTTAAAGACCATCTACTTCCAAGCCCCCTTCACTGGGCAGCCCCATCTTCTGTTTGATCAAACCTTCTGTTTATTTTCTGAAAGAAAATGAAAAATGAAATCACTCTTCTTTCAGACAGATAAAAAATATCTATTATGTATTCATATCTTGGGGGGGAATCTAATGATTGGAAATCTTTGAAATCTTTTGACTGAAAATAACATGTAAGCACTTAAGAAGAGCTTTATTTGATGTAACAACACCTCTGATAGAAATCTTGCTTAAACTGTATCTTTTTTTTTGCAGCAGGACTTGAAAAAAAAGAAGGAAAAGCAACAAAGGCAGCAATGCAAGGTAAAAAGAAAAAAAAAACATGTTGGTGTTATCGCTGTTAAAACACAATGGCACAGAAACAATAACCTCAAATTCAGAGAGCTGGATGACAGCAACCTTTAAATCCATTGGTTCACCAGTATTTTTTCAGAGTTACACTGTGTTTGTCAGAGCAACAAGGGAATTTCCATTATAAAACTGGCTTTGTCCCAGTTCCGCAAAACTATCACCCAAACAAAAAGCTTCAGGCAGATTGCTGCCAACTTCAGACAAAAGGTTCTGTGCTGGGACTTAGTGACCTTGCAAGAGGTTTCCTGCCCCTGTAGCCTGGACAGGGATCAGCCTTTGCTCCTCCATCTGAGAGAGTAACTTCTACTGAAGTAAAGGGGCAGAGACTCTCCGCAGTCAGCTCAGCCACCCTTCTTGTCCCAGATGAAACATCAGCCCCACAAAAGACCACTGCAGAGAATCTCAAAAACTTTTGAGACCAAATCCTGTAGAAATTTTTCACAAAAATTTCTACCGGATTGGTATGGATAAGGCAGGAGTGGGAATGTCTGAGTGGAAACACCAAAAGAAAGGCTGTAAGAACCAAGTGTGAATGGCACATAACTCAGAGGGACACAAAGTCTATATCCAGTGTCCCAAGTTAACAGCAGGAATACCAAGGAATGGTCTACACCAAGGTCAAAACAAAACTCAAGCCACTTAATTAACACAAAAAGAGAAGGACTGATGCCTTAAACCATCTAAAGATGTGTCTTTTCCTATTATATGCATTTATGTTATTTATTATTGTTGTTGTTGTTATTATTATTATTACCTTCAGCATTATATCCTGCATACTTGCTTCTTGTACACTTGTTAAATGCAATCCATTCTTTTTTAGGTTAGTGGGGTAAGAAGCAAAGTAATAAAAAGGGTGTATAAATGCCCAAAGCTTATCAGCTCAGGCTTCTTTTATGCAATTGACATGATTTTTTTTACTTAGTCATGCTTAAATTGGCAGCTAGAGTCCTGATGATGAACTTGCCAGTAACCCTTATTATAAGGTGTAAGACATGTTTACTGATGTGGCTTTGGTCAGTCAAGCTATTATCCCTTCCTTTTCTCCAGTCTCTCAGCTTCAGCTTTACTCAGAGTTACTCAAGCCAGCACAGACACCCTGCAGCAGCTCTCAGCTGCTTGGTAGTTGTCATGGAAAATGTTATAATTAGGTGGGCCTTGGCCTAGATTTCAGGCATTGTTAGGCTGGGTATCTTCACATTATTTTCCATTGCCACGCAAGTGCTTCTCCAGACTACAGTCTACACTGTTTCCTCTTTTTTTGTCTTTTTGCTCATGCAGCAATGAGGTACGTGGTTGCTGTAAGATTTATCCTTTCTCCAATGTACCACCATTAGCTGGGATTTTATCTGCCAAACATTTTAACTGTGCCGTAAAGAGCACAAACTGAGCAGTACAAACTATAGTTTTCCATGGCTGACATGAAGCAGGGTTTTCTTAAACCACAGGTTGTGATACCCAAGGAACTCAAAAGGGGGGGCAAACTGTTTCCCATGACAGCAGGCAGCAGCAGCCGTAGCAGCAACGCTGTCTCCCCATGCCAGCACTAACTAGTCTCTCCAAATCAAAGGAATAAGAGCAACATGTAATGTCTGTCACAACTATTTTTGCAGCTTCTTCCCAGTGCTGGCAGCAGCTCAGTTCTTCTGATGCCCAGAAGTGAGCACAAACACTTTCACACAGCAATTCCCTCTGCTTCTCATTTCTGCACCCTATATGTTTGGAGTTGCTGCCAACACATTGATCACTCAAAGACAAATGCAAAAAAAACCTTTCTGGATGCTTTTTGTATATTACCATGTTCTGTTATTATTCACAGAATTTGCATCGGAACACACTTCAGAAAATAGAGGGATTTAGTCCTGGTCAAAACTGGGACTTGCAATCTATGAAAAACAGTATAAGAAGATTTGCAGAAAAATCTGGAGTTTGTAGGCTGGATGTACTTAGAAATCAGTGCATAACTTCATTGTTTCTGATAAAGGTTTTAGTGATTATTGCAGATTTGACCTCAAACTCCCACATCTGGAAATGGGCTGAAAGACTGTAGCAACAAACCAGTTCAGTGGTCTTTTATTAGTTGTAAAGCCAAATTACAGATAATATTTGTAACTGTTAGAAGATGAGAAAGAAGGCACTTAACCTTAACGCTATTTGTTTGGAAAATGTCATGAGCAAATATCAGATAGTTTCCAGCAAGTTAATGCCTTACTGAGAATTAATATTTAAAAGAGATAATAAAAAGTATTTTTTTTCTGGTGATATCCAATAGGACTAAGAAAGGAGACTTGCCATCAGTTAAAGAAGATCATATCAGACATGGGTGTTTCATGTTCTTTGTGAGTGTATGAAAGGCAAAAGGTGGGAACCATGAACTTTATTCACATACTCTGTCAGGAAACAGTGGAGGTTCAAGATATATTTAAACACTTAGTATCAACATGCATTTAAATACATTTTCATTAGTTGATTATATTTTTTTTAAATTTCCCATGTGAACATGTATTCTAACATTTCCTTTTTCTTTTCTCTTTTTATTTTTGTTTCCTTTCCCTTCTCTTTCTCCAGATAAATCAAAGATGAAACAAGGAAGTAAGCTATAGTTTTACTTATTAAAGTAACATCTTCCAGAAGAGTTTGGGTAACTGTGCTCTTAATAATGGAGTTGTACAACAGCTTTAACTTCTTACTGGTGGGCCTCTGAAAGGAAAGGCTTTATGTCGTGCTTTAAGTAGCTTAGCTTGGCTGGAGCTCTGTCTTCAGCTGTCTTCTTTAGTTTAGACACTGTTGCACTGAACATGAAACCTCGTGGGAATTTTTCATTATACACAAGCACAGAAGAAAAAGTTTTTCAGTCTTCCCATTGAATTTTATTTCTCTTCGCAGAGTCTTCTTTGATTAACTTAATAGTTAAAAATTTGAACTATTTTTTTACCAGGAGTATGAATATGTCTGAATATGTCCACCAAATATGCCTACATATGTCTGTAGTAAATTTGTGTATTTTCTGATTTTGAAAATAAGGGCCTGAATAATAAATTGGTGAGTACAAAACATGAAGGTTAAAGCAGGAAAGCAGGAGTAGTTTCTGAAGCAGATGAGGTATAGTTTCTGAAGTGTAATGAGGAATAGAAGAGACAGTTTCATTTCAATAAAATTGCATTTTTGACCTTGTTCAACTGATTTCTTTCCCAAGTCTTCTCCTTTAGAAATTATATTGTATGGAAGTATCTAGTATTGCCTTTTGAGAAATACAATGTAGAAAGAGAAAAATAATGAAAAAATTATCTCTTGACATGAGTCCCAACAGAAGATGTCTCTCAATGTCAACAGCAAATTAGGTTTTTCCACTTGACAGCTCTTTCTATCATAAATAAAATGTTATTATTTATGGATTCCTTCAATTCAGGTTCCCCAGCATCTCAGTTTGTCTTAGTCAGACAAATACTAAGCCATGAACAAGAAGCTTTATTGATATCATAATAAATTACTATTGGACACAGTCTCTGCTTTTATAATAAAAGAGACAATTTGTGCACTGTGTGTCATTAAGGCAGTAAACAACTACCACTAAAAGTACTTATTGTAGCTTACACAATTTTCATATCTATCTAGTAAACACAACCTCTATCTCCTAAGCACATCCTCATCAGGAGTCTTGACTTCTTGTCCTGTGTGTAGAAATCAAGAGGGTCCCCTATCAGTTTTGTTTAGTATCTCCTGGCACTGAATTCTGAGTGTTTCAATAGAAAGAATTTTTTCTTCATATGTGATGGAGAACCTAGTATTTTTTAGTTTCTCCAGAAAATACCTATTAGCATTTCTCAGATGACATGTATAAAAAAAATTTAACCAGCAGTTAGGTGATTAAATTACTAAAAATGCAGGAAGTCAATATCCAAGTCTCTGATCATTTTGAATTGACCATTTTGGGATAGTCTTGCCTGTCTTTTCAATTTTGTGATAGAAAACCTTGGAGATCTTTCATCATTCCAGAATAATGATCTCACATTTTGTCTGAAACTGAACTCTTTTCTATTTTCTATCTGATGTTATTAATTTCTTATGCTTTTTCAGGAGACTACCCTTCCCTGAGGAAGGTTCGTGTGGCCTAACCATCCTTTCGGCCAGTCTGTAGGCAACTCTTCACCCACCTATTTGTCACTGTTGTGTTGATCGCTCACTTTGATCAGCATCTGGCCTTTAGAAAATAAAAGATCCAATCAGAAGATCCTTGGCCTTGCTCAGCAAGAATGGGCAATCCCAGATGAGGGAAGTAGGCCAGAGTCAGCTCCAATAAGTCAAATTTGGCAATCAGTTTTTACCTTTCTGGTTAAGAACACTGAAAAACTGTCCATGTCTCATACTAAGCTGAAGTTTGCAAACTTTATAATTAAATCTACAATAGTTAATTGACAAAACACATTTTGTAGACTAAACTTTCTGAATGATACCTGGTGAATTTTGTACAAATCTTCCAATAACTCAATTTTAACCATGTATTCCAATGTATACTTTTAATCTTTCACACAATCAATATACTTCATTCTCTCCTCTGGTTAAATCTCATTGATTCACTCAGTTGTGGCTTCTTTATTGGTGTCACTTTATTGGTGTGACTGATTCTTTTACAGATCCTGGAAAAGAGAAAGAATTGAAATCTCCAGCTGCCACAAAAGATAAAGGTAATATGGCAAGATGAATTTGTGTATAACTCTAAGATCTATGTGCATACAAAAGGAAAACTTGGAATGCATTGCCATTTTGGTTTTTAAAGTATGATTTATTTAGAAATTTATAACCATAATACTATTTCAGTAAATTTACAATAAAACTTAATTACCTGAATTAGAAGTGCAAAGAGAGCACTGGTTATATTAGTTATGAAAATTTAGAAGGCTAACTCAGAATTTAGAAACCATTGTTATATTATGAGCTGCAAAGTGATTTTGAGTGATATTTGTTCTTTCATCAAATTTAAGAAAATATGTTGTTTCATTTGTGAGCATGCTAAAACTGTTAAAAATTAATTTTGTAATAAACATTTAATTGATATCTTGTGTCAGTTGGAAACCACCAATCATTCAATCAATCATTATCCAAGAAGCATTAGATGTTAACCATTTAACACTCTAGCTTGAAGATTAATAAATTATTTTTTACAGAACATGCTAAAGAAAAGGAAGGGAAGAATCCTACATCTTTAAAAGAAAAAGGTAAGAATACATAATAAAATATAGGACTTGCTAAAACCACACAAATTAGAATGAAGATGCTAATTTTTTAAACAGCTATTATCAGTATTTCTCATTATAAATCTTAACCTATCAAAATTAAATTTGTAAAAATATTCTACAGAATCTACAGCATTAAAAAGATGGGGGGAAATATACTGAGACAATTAAAGTTCAGAGTTCTCAATATTAATTACATCAGTATCATAAACCACTCTGTGGAATACTTAAGTACCTTGCAAAAAATGTCTGAACACTCACAAGTCTTTAATAGGGCCAGTTAAGAAAATCTGAACTGAATCATTTCACAAATGTGTGAACAAAATAGGAAGAAAGTAAGATTTATGAACACATGAGTGGGAAATATGCTTTCTGTTCTCTGTAAAAGTTATAGCTAGAACCCCAGAGATTCATCCAGTCAACCATCTGCAGCATGAGATCTGGTCTAAATCTTTCTTATATTCCTGTTTTTGGGGGTTTTTTTGGCAATTTGATCAGAGTAGGTGGTTACCTCAGTTAAATTTTCTTTCATCTATTGTTTTATTGGGTGCTTTTTACACATCTTATTTCTTCCCTCCTTTCAAGAAATAACCTTATTTGGAAGAAGTTACTTATGAATAAGTCTTATATGACATCTTCAGTATAAAACGATCTACCTATATATAGTGAAGATAATATTTATTCTAAGTTATAGTCTATAATTATTATAAGTCTATAGCTATATATGGATATATTGCAGGTCTGCAATATATAGACTTTAGTCAAACTATTTCAAGTTACAGTCATTCTATGTGATTTCAAAGAAAGAACTGAATGAAGAGATCAATTCAAGTAGTATTGAAAGATGACAAAAACATATACAACAAAGAAGGAATAATTTATTGCTAGACATATTTTCAAAATCTTAGAAGCTATTTTCATTCACTTACTTCTTTGTTCAAAAATCTAAATTGAATTATGGCAATCTGCAAATTCTATGATGCATATATTTTTGTTCTGTGTGTGTTCTACTCCTAATGTACATGTGCCCCATTTACACAAGCTTAGTTATTTGGACCAGAACTGTATATCCAAACTCTATGGGGTCCTGTGGCCCTCTCCAAAGACTGACTATAATCTGTGTCTTTCTGATGGTGTTGTGCTGGAAAATTAAAAGAAGCACTTCAGTGACAACTCTGCCCCCTCTATGCCTGCATGGAGCAAGTGTATTCAGCCTGCTGCTCCTTTCAAAGGATTACAGGGAGACAGGGAGAGGAGAAAAAAGAGAGAAGACCCAAAACTTTTTTCTCTTTGATAAGAGTTTCTTTAAAGCAAATGGATAGTGGTTTGCCAGCACTGAAAATTTTCCATAGTGTGTTCTTTGTTGAGAGTAGCCACAGCACTGCTTTTTGTCTCCTATGCTCATGTTTAACTTATCAACAACTTCAGTTACTAAGTTATTAGTAATTAGTATTTACAGGTCCTTCTAACATGACAAAGGTGGCTAGACTTTCTCCGCACAACCTTCAGAAAAAAGCAGGTAGGAATATCTTTTAAACATCAATACAGCTGAAAACTTGCTGCTGAACATATCTGTAAAGACACCATAGGCTCCTGACCCCCTGCAGTAGCACTGATATCCAACCCAGCTGAGCCTGTCCCTCAGATTCTGAGAGCTCTTGCTGATGCAGCCATCACTGTTTCCCATAATAGGCATCAAACTGGCAAAATTCTGTGCCTGTGCCTAAAAACAAGGATGCTGATTAGTGAGCTATAGAGCTCAGTTCAAAATATATCAGCATCAAAGACTATAGGGACAACTTATAAGCTCTCACAACTCTCTGCGGGGAGAAACTTCTAGAAACCTTGGTGCCTTTCTTAGTTGTATATTTTCTTATTGCATTATGGATTACTCTGCTGTATATATATATTTTGCATTATTTGTCCCCCATTTAAGTCATCATATCTGCCCGAACTGTGGTTCATAAATTAATCAAAGCTTATTTGCATGCCATTCCTTCTCCTCTCCGTCACCTCTTCAAACCTCCTGAGTGGGCCTCTGTAAATGTTATTGGCCAGGTCACTGGGGACTTCTTTTTACTCTTTGTGACTTGGTGTTTTGCAATTTTTTTCTTAAAGTGGATCTTTCTGGAAAATACAAATATATCAAAGGACACAGGAAAGTAAGGATTTTTAAGACTGCATATACTTCCTATTTATGTATATTGGGAGTTTGTTACTATTCATGTAAACGAAATAAAGGAACACATTCCAGGTGAAGTGTTAAATGCTCATGGTGATTAATGTGTGTCTGGCACCTTATGCAATAAAAGAGGTCTCATCACACCTCATTCGCTTTGAAGGATGGGCTAAGTTTGAATGACAAGGATGATGTCCAGACCAAAAACCTTATTCCAAAGCAGGCTATTTTTCACAAACTGAAGCATAGTGGTTTTATTTAAAGCAGAAAAAGGAGAAATAAATCCCTGAATTTGGAGTTGTTTCTGGGAACCTCCATAGATCATAACCCTACAAAGTTACTTTATCTATTTTATGAGGTGAATAAAATGTCTTCAGTTTTGGAGCCTAATTTTATTGAGAGTAGTTAAAGAGAGCACTGGAATAATATGTTTTCAACTTCTTAGTGATAAAGGACATCTCAAGACACTGTCTGAATTTGTAACTGGCTTTTCATCTCTTCCCTGCAGTAGAGTAAAGAAGCCCATTTGTACTCACAAATATATAAACTGATTTTCTGTTGGTGTAAGCATATTTGTAAGCATAACTTGAGGCCAGTGAAGCTCTAAGTTATAATTTGCCTCCTGGTTTTTGGGTAGGTGTCTTACCCAGCTAACCAAAGTAGAAAATCATTCATCCAGAGGGTGTAACAGTGGCACTAAAAGTTCGTAATATTTCATATATAAATCCTCAATGGACTTTTGTAAGATATTTGCATTGTGCTGAGGTATTGACAGCATTTATCCTGTATAAATAACATAAATTTCTTCTCATCCTGTGTTCCATGATTTATTTTCCAGACAAATGCTTTTTTCTTCTTTGCATTTGACATGTTTTGGGATGTCTTTGAATATTTTCTTATGACACCTATGTGTGGGTAATAAACCTATTTATTTTTACACACAGGTTGATAGGGGAAATTAGTCAGTAGTGTGTATTTCTTTCTTGCCATATATATTATAGTATACTGTCATTAAAAAACAAATGAGATGATTTTTACTTGCTATGCAAAACTTACATTTCCTTTAAAGCAAAAGTAACATGAAATAGTATCTTACCTGTGGCATTTTTTTTTCTTAACTTGTAACATACTTTTTTCCCTTTAGAATTTAGTTATATTGTGAGCAGTAGCAGCTCACATTTCTGCCTATTTCCATTTCTTTATCTGTCATCATTGTCATTTGCATGAGAGCTATATCTTTATCCTGAGGATATCACACACTGCTGCTGCTTCATCATTCTATACCATCTTCCTAACCTGACCCAGCTTCACCCCAGGAGCAGAATGTGGAAGGAAAGCATTAAGCCAGCTTTATGTTTTTTCCCTTCTGGGACCAGCAATAAAGTGGTCAGTTGAGAGCAGAAGTTTGAAAAGTCATCAGTGAGTAGCTGTTTAAACTTCTGAAAATGAAAACCTGCTCCCTGGAAGAAAAGCAGACCTGGTGTTCTCAGTGTCCTTCGTTCAATAGGTTGGGAACTTGGTGCACCATGTAAAGTGTCCTGCACTGAGAGTTGCATCCAAAAGTTGTAAGACTCAAAAGTGCTGAACCTTCTTTAGGAGCTGCTGCATATTATAGGAAATCTGAGGGAGATATGCTACATGGATGGCAAAAAACCAGCATGGGCATATGGCACTTAACCCACAAGACCAAAGATTTGTGGCTGTGGCTGCAAGAGTGGCTTCGGATCACTGAGATCACCAGTGTGCCCAGAGTAATGCGGTCAAATGGGGCAGCTGTTGCCTCAAGACTTTTAATATAGTCAACATAGAGGCTGCCTCAAAGTGTTTCAGGCTTCACAATGGAAGTTTTCTCTCAGTCCCATGAAGAAGAGTCCATCTGCTGTTGCGAAGATCAGGCTCCTAATTTCATAATCTATCCCATAATCTATCCATGGTTTATCCAACAGTTTCAGCCACCCTGGAAGTGATTTTTTTTTTCTTTCTTTTTTTCTCGCAACTCGCACTTAAATCCAGATGGATAAGTGGGATCACTTCCTGGTACCATGGCAGCCAGAAGGATGTTCAGAGTTAAAAATATTTTGTAAAACATCTTCTTTTAGCTTTTTCTGAAGATTTGGTTTTTCTGAAGATTTGGTTTTACTGAAGATTTGGTTTACTTTCATTTGGAATAAATGGCATGCTTTTTTCCATATGCTTAGATGCTATATCCTGTCAGATGGAATGCAGCTGGGTCTATTTAGCATTCTTCAGGCCGTGATATTCTCTCATTCAAACCACATACATTCAAAATCCTATCAAATTATTTCTTCACTTTGGAAAAAACTATTTTCTCCTAATATCCCTGATAAAAACACTTAAGATGTCAAGAGACTGTTGCTTGAAAAAAATATTTAAACATTAGTTATTTACATAATATAGTGTATGCTTTTCCTCTGCTTTCTTGAAGGACTGAGGCAAAAGATATATTCTTCAGACAGAGAAAGCAGAAATTGTCTTCATGAAGTTTCCGATAAGACCCAAAGAATTCCTAATTCTGTGTCATTGCCTACATTTTACTTTTGAATTTCTCTCTTTTATGTGGTTTCTACAGACAGTTACCAAAAGCAATTTCTATTCTTGCTTTTGCTACTAATGTTATTGCGCCTTAAAAATATCAGTCTCTAGAGAGGATATAAAAAGAGGTCAAGCTTGCATCTATTTATGTTCACAATTTTAGTCTTGGTTTTTAAATATTTCTTGACTTTTCTTTTAAATGTAGAAGAGTACTCTTGTCTTCTAAGTATCAGAAACACAATTTTTTTCCTACAGATTCCCTGAAAGGAAAAAATCCCAAGAATCCAGAGACCATAAAAGAAAAAGGTAAGTGAAGAAGTTAAGAAATCCAGACATGAATATCAGAAAAATTATTCAGTCTAGAAAGAGCTCTTGAGTAGGTATATAGCAGTGTGGAAAACCAAACCCATCTTGGTTATTGTTTCGATTATTTTAGTCATTATATTGTTTTTAATAATATTTGCGCTGTACAGATCCCAGTAGGATCCCTAGAATTCACCTGGGCTTCTTTTAAATGTGGATGTTGGAATTTACATATTGGGGGAAATACTAAAATTTGGTTTTATACCAGTTTTGGATGTTAGTCTGTCAAAAATGAGTTGTCTGAATCCCATAGTGGGAACATTACTGAAAGGAACTAGACTAAATCTGGTTCATGTGGCTACAGCTCAGGGATGTGGGTGTCTGAGAATGAAACTGACTGAGGCTACTGTCACATCCAGGTGTTTGAGGGTGACTGATAGAACAAGATTTTTTTCTTAGTTTGTTGGCAATGTGGGCACATATATCTCTGTCTCTAGTCATTTCAGCTGCAAGACCACTGCTAACTGTTCACACAGGTGTCATGTGTTGCTTGATAGCATGTATTTGAAGAAAACCCTATTTGCTGTAATGTTATGTCTATCAAACACTCTCTTTCCGGAGAGTACTGAAACAGCTGAAAAAATTTAAATGACAAAGCAAAGGCTATCAGCACTGTGCCTGGCTCCTGAGCTGGAACAGCACACCTGAAGTCCAAATTGTTACAAAGTTCCATTTATTGGAAGCTGGAGATATTCGATGCAGTCCAGATTACAGCTGCTGAAGAGATATAGAACAAAATGGCACACTTCTGTAAGGAATGTATTAGTCCTTGTAAAAACTGTAGGAAATGAAGCCAGGGCGTCCCTTGTGGCTGAGAATTCTCCTCTATGCCATTGCTATCAGTCCCTGTGTCTCACCTGACCAGCAAAAGAAGATCATCATTTTCCTTTATTTGTGCTTAGCTAACTCCTGAATTTTTGGGGGGCTTTTGGGGGATTTGTTTGTTTGGTTAGTTTGGTTTTTTTTTGTCCTTGAGTTCTGCCTTGTCAGTTACTAGAAAGGGAGAACTAGAATATCAGGGGTTTTTTCTCATCTCCTTTAATCCTTTGTCATATACTGAAGAAAAAGAAAATTAAAGATACAATTAAGTCCCTGGACTATTCATTTTGATATAAAATATATGAATGTACATTTGAAGGATGAGCACTGCTCTTCTTTTATAGCCAGTGTGCCTGTCATTTTAAAAGGCTATATATACACAGGAAGTGAAATTCTGCTCACAGGCAACACCCATATGGCCACTTTAATATTAAAAGAGTATTGGAGTCCTGAATGAGTAACTGGTCCTTTTGTCACTCTTGAATAAAAAAACTCCCATTTAGCTTTGTCAGCAGCCTCTGGCTTTCAAGAGCAGTATTCCTAATATTTCAATTGTATCAATGTGGGTTCAGCAAAAGAAAAAATCATTGATGCCAACTGTTCTGTAGAATTTCTTTCTTCTTTTTAAGTAATTCTTCATTGCCTGCATCAGAGAGGGCTCCACAGAAACTAATGACATTTTGAAGGCTTATTATTTTGCATATCCAAAACTAGAAAGATGAATGGATGACCTTGTTTTTTTGTCCTGTTCTTTATTTCCATGCTGTTAAATCTGTTTAATTATCACATCTCTTTTGCTCTCCACATATCAAATTGTTTGACTTGCTTTCTATTCAAGTGTCATCTTAGTTCCCTAACCTGACTTGTGATAAATGTTAAATGTTTCTTCTAGAGAGTGGAAAAAGAAAAGATGTGAAGCCTCCAACAGCCTTAAAGGAAAAAGGTAATGTATTATAATTATGTGGCTGAAAAATAACAAGTCTTCTGCTGGTATCTCAGTGCAGTTTTGATATATTTTGAATTACAGGCTGCTGGCGAAAAGGGACTAAACCTAGATTCTTCTCATTTCAAAGATCCGATATATTGAAAGGAGCAGTGTCTGACATGATTCAGAAATAATAAAATCGTAACACTTCTTATTGTGGTGTTCTTTAACTGCTGTCTGACCTGCACAGCCAATATTGCAGTGGCAGTGCTAGTCTGTTCTGAGTGAATTAGTAACAGAGCTGCTACTGAATGCACAACAGGCTAAAATGATAGGCTGTGCAGAAATGAGTTCATGGTTTGACCTGCAGAGACTTTGCCAGCAAATTTAGAGGGAATTATTTTTTGTTTGCTTTCAAGTTTAGTTTGTGCCTCTTATTGAATTAAATGAAAATTCTGATTCTTAACACATCTCTTTTATGCCTTTGGCTGATCTGGTGTTATGTGCATTTGTTACAGTACCAATGTATGTATGTTTATGTTGCTAATTTTATGTATGTTTATGTTGCTAATTTTGTCCTTTCATTTTGTGTTTGGTTTCTTTTTCAGACTCTTCAAAACGAAAAGAAATTAAGGCTTCAACTAATCCTAAGGAAAAAGGTAAGAATCCCAAGTTGAACTGAACAGAAGTTTCAGCTGAGAAAATAAATCCATTGTGCCAGGAGTCACAAATGAAATCCTAGTTTCTTTGGTTTGCTATTTCTAAATATCCTTGAATGTCATCCTTTGCTGCTGAACATTCTTTTTACCTGATTGAACAAATGACAGGTGCATATGAGGCTATACAAGCAAGTAGCTTTGGTATTATATAGACTCTAAGGTCAAAAGGAATTAGTTTCTTTTTTCTTGATTTTGTCTCATTCTTTCTATTTAAATTAGCAATTTCAGAATGCATTTTACTTCTATATATTGTTTGATTGCACTCTTCTCTCTCTTCTTATATTGAAATATCAGCATTAGCCATCAAATATAAATCAATTACAATTTATAGTACATCTCTAATACTAGGCATATTTGGGCACTGTAATTATAGTTAACCAGCTATGCTCAGGTTTATTTATTCATATCAAACAAATTCAAACAAAACTTAGTTTACTTTTATCCTATTTGCATATGGATTAAATGGCACTTTTTCATTATAAAACAGTTGCTCAAGTTAAATGTGTAAATAATTTAACATGGATAAAAATATGTAATATTTTGTTAGATAATAACAGTTGTTTGAATCATGGGAATGTAGTAGTCTATCTTAAAATCTTCAAGTTGGTTTTGAAAAGTGTTTCAGATAATTGGATAATACTGCTTACTATCTTTAGAGTTTTCCTAAGGAATAGTAGAAATATTGAGAAATATTTTCTCTGAGAAAGTTATGAAAGACAACATTTACAAGTTTTTAAGTGCAGCTATTTCACCTAGTGTATAGCAGAATAGCAGAAATCAGCTATTACTTTGCATAGTTGTATCATTCTGAATCAAAGTAAAGACTTAAGTGCTACCAGAAAAAAAGTGCTATTGAGAGTAGCCCTGTCAAGAAGGACTTGGGGGTGCTGGTGAATGAGAGGCTGGACATGAGCCATCAATATGCTCTTGCAGGCAAGAGAGCCAGTTGTATCCTGGGCTGCATCCAAAGCAGTGTGGCCAGTGGGTCACAGGAGGCAATTCTTCCCCTCTGCTCTGCTCTGCTCTGGTGAGACCCTTCCTGCAGCACTGAATCCAACTCTTGGGTCCCCAGCACAGGAAGAACATGGACCTGTTGGAACAAATCCAGAGGTAGCCACCAAGATATTTAGAGGGATAGAGCACCTCTCCTGTGAGGAAAAGCTGAATAAATTTGGTTTCTTCAGCCTGGAACAGAGAAGACTTTGGCGTGACCCAGTTGTGGCCTCCCTGTACCTTACAGGAGTCTTTGATAGAATGAGACTATTTACAAGAACCTATAGTGACAGGACAAGGGGGGATGGCTTCAAACTGAAAGAGAGTAGGTTTAGATTAGATATGGGGAGAAATTTTCTACTGTGAGGTTGGTGAATAGGTTGCCTAGAGAAGTTGTGGATCCATCCCTTTAAGTGTGCAAGGCCAGGTTAAATGGGGTTCTGATTTATGTGGCCTAGTTGAACATCTCCCCCCCCTCCCCACCCCGACCATGGGAGGGAGGTTGAAACTAGGTTATCTTTAAAGTTCCTTTCAACCCAAACCTTTTTATATTTCTATGAAAATGAGCTAGGTCTTAAATAGTTTGAAACTCCTTTTAGTAGTCAAAGTAGATGAACCTGAATTGTCAGTTCAAGGTCCAAGGCATTAGAAAAATAGGGACACATTATTGTAACATTCCATTTAGTTTACTTTAGCCAACAGGGAGCAATAACCCTCCACAGAAAGAGTTGGAAGGTGTTGAAAGAGACCATCCAGAGAAGCGGCTGAGTCATCTTTCCTGGAAGTATTAAAAAAAATTATGGATATGGCACTTGAGGACATGGTTTAGCAGTAAAAAATGGTAATGGTGCTAGACTACACTTGGACTTGATCTTAAAGGTCTTTTACAACTTTAATTTTATGACTTTATGTGTGGGCATATTTTCATATATTGATTATTGGTTTAATAGAACTTGGTTTATTATTTTAAGCTTGAGGCAAGCAAGGCCTATGGTCTTCCTGTTAAGTTCTTGAAAAAATGTCCATGAAACATAGTTAGGTTAATGAACAGTTAATCAGACCCTTAAGCATTTGACTCTTGACCTTATTGTTGAGTTTCTTCTCTAATTCTTCTCATAAATATTTCTGGTTGAAAGATTGATTTATTTAAGTGATAATGAGAATAAAATTCTATTTACTTCAAAAGAGCAGGAATTGTAAAGAAGAAATACATGTCTGTAAAAGTGTTTTAATTGCAATGCTAATGAATTAGCTTCAATGAAGTGTCAAACGCCCACTCAACTATGCAAAGAATAGGTATTTAAAAAAGACTTCATTTACTTAGTTTGATCAGACAGTGAAACAACTGGTGAATAGCAGCTCCTGTCAGATTCCAAAACTGAATTATTTCAAGAAAGGACATGTTTAATTAAACACTGTAGACTTCCACTGGCTGCACATGAAGCTCAGTATATTTGAAAAGGAAAGTTACTACCCAGAAGTTATTAACTCTACCATCTCTCTTTTCTTTATAGTAAAAGACCTTTTCTTGTAGTAGCAAATAGAACATATGCAAGATTTTTCTTATGGTATAGCAGTAGCAATTATGAGCTATGTTCAGAAATTAACTTTCATTTCAGGCAGATTTTTTCTACATGGCCTAACTTTTTGCCCTATAGATTAAAACACTGTAAGAAACATAAAAATCAATGTTGTTGTGTTGTCTTACAGTCTTATAGTTTACTGCTTTTCAAAACACAAGAATGAAGATTTGAATGTTTAGTGTGAATTATGTTGAGTTTAACTCTACTGAAGTTTAAGGTCACATTAGAGACGCCTATGATTGCTCTGTTAAAGTGGAGGTGAAGTCTGAAGTACAATTGATTGGTTTTATACATACAGCAGGATTTGGATGAGCAATGGACTCATAGCCCTGGGTTTGCACAGCCTTTACTAGCTTCCCAAGTGAGATGAGTACCACCCCCTTCAGTTATTCCTACTGGATTGCATACAACCTTGTACACCATCTGTGAATGTACTTAATGCCTTGCACAGCTCACTGAGAACAAATGATATCTCACACCTGAAACGGCGTTTCTCTTTGATTCTAGCTGACTCTATAAGAACTTAAAATATTTGAATTAGATTCTGTCAGACACACAATTGGTCCAGCTGACTCCTAAATCTTGTGCATCTTAGATCTGCCCAGTGAGCAGGATTACAGATCCTTCAAGGCCCTGAAGCAGGACTGCAACAGAAAAGTTGAGTGGGAAAAAAGTTGAGTAGGAAAGCTGAGCTTGAATGGGAATATCTGAGGTTGCATACTCATACATAGTTACACCACTTTTATGTTAACAATAGGATTCCGTAATTTGCTAGTCATCAGTTAGTATTACAGCAAATCTTATACAATCTTCGTTTGGAGGCAGTTCAGCTCAGTGGCTGCAGGTTTTTAAAAATTGTTTCTGTCTTTTCTGTTCCATGTGACAGATATGCTATTTCTTAGCTTCTGGGATTCAAACAAGTACAACATTTCCAAAAGCAGATACAACTAACTCAAGTGACACTGAATATGCATGACAAGACATTGACATTTTGTCAGAAGAGTGTAACCCCAATGCATTAAGTGGCTTTAAGCATTCATGTGGGATGCTGTGCATCACTAACCTTCTCTTCCTTAACAATGATAAGTGACATGCCACATACATCAGGCAGACAGTTTGGGAAAAGCTTCTTTGGGGAAAAGTATTCCAGAAATTTTGTGGCCATTGCCCTGTAACCAAGTGTCAGCACGAGGTCACCTTTATGAGCGCTTTGTTTTTTTAGCCAACTAACCATGCATGGGGTGCTTCCTCAGAGGACATCTCAGGTTAAACTAGCCATCCAAAAATGCCTTGAGAAATAGCAGTGTTTGGACTAGCACTTTCTACTTTACAGAAATCTACCAAATCTAGTGTAAATTGCAGTAACAGAAACAGCCTCAGTGTATCCCCTTTGTTAGGATAAATACATTTCTGAAATGTGAAAACTAAATTCACAGAAGTTCAATGTAGAATTATAATATAAAATAGAGAACTAATATGAAAGAATTAATAGAGAACTAAAATGTAAGGTAGATAGATTTGGTATACAAAAATCCCAACATCAGCCTGTTCAAATGACCCATCCATTACAGAACATCATTGCTTCACACTGTCAGTAAGAAATACTTCAAGAAAATACCAGAGCTTTAAAAGTCAGATTAACATAATGACACATATATAACCAAGACTGAGCCATAACAGCAGACATAAAATTCCCATTTTGAGCCAGCACTTCTCTGTAAATATTCTTCAATAGATGCTAGAAAATAAGGAAAAAAGAACAGTAGTAAAATACATAATGTGAATGAACACCAAATTAGAAAAGGGAGTTAAAATTTTAATTCCAAAAAGTAGGTTATGTAAAGTATGTTTTATGGCAAACTACAAAGCATGAAGCTGTCCTCATGACTTGATACTTGATTTTTTTATTGCTTTTCCTTAAGGAAAATATTCAAGCTGAATAATATTTGCCTGCGTAGGTATGTGGAAATACACTTTTGGTGGTAAAAACAGGTTTGTAAATGAAAGCATATCTACAGATACTTCAAGTATTTCCTGGAGTTAGGGACTGCTACATGCTGGTACAACCAGAACTCCATAAATATTTCAGGACTTGTCATCCTGAAAAGTCCTCTGAATCACAAAATCACAGACTCACAGACTTATTTATGCTGGAAAAGGCATCCGAGAGTATTGCATCCAACCTTAGAGAGAACACTTCATTGTCAACTAGACCATGGCACTAAGTGCTATTTCCAGTTGTTTTTTGAACACCTCCAGGAATGGTGACTCCAACACTCTGGGAAGTCCATTCCTGTGCTTAGTAACCTTTCCTGTGAAGAATTCCTCCTGATGTCTAACCTGAACCACCCCTGGTGCAGTTTG